AACAGGAACAGGAGACGTGGGAGAATTTACGAAGGAGTCTTTAATAAACCAAAACAGGGTAACACACACGTAGGACATAGAGTTATCCTACAACACCGAACACTGGACACAGGAAAACACTGGGCTTAAATAACTGGAACCAAACGAGGGAATTAATGAGAAACACCTGAAATCAATGAACACAATCAAACACGGGAGAAACTGGGTCATGGGGAGCACATATGGAGCAAAACACAAGACAGGAACACAGGGGCAGTTAGGGTTAGCTCTGAGCACTCTGGAGGCCTCTAGGGACAGGCTTAACACGGGACGGAAGGCCTCCAGGGTGGTACCCGTTCTGGGACCCATGGTGGATCAGACAGTTCAGTGAGCCTTGGCAGAGCGGGTAGTTCAAGGGGCCATGGCGGAACAGGCAGCTCGGGGAGCCATGGCAGAGCAGGCAGCTCGGGGAGCCATGGCGGGGCAGGCAGGCTAGGGAACCATGGCGGAGCAGGCAGAATAGGGAGCCATGGCAGAGCAGGCAGCTCGGGGAGCCATGGCGGAGCAGGCAGATTAGGGAACCATGGCGGAGCAGGCAGACTAGGGTGCCATGGCGGAGCAGGAAGTTCAGGGAGCCATGGCGGAGCGGCCTCCGTGGCCTTGGCCTCTGCACTCGGCCCGGCCTCTACGGCCGGAGCTCTATAGCACCCCCCCTTAAAAAATTCCTTGGGCGAAATTTCGGGCTCTGAGGCCCTCCGTGGACCAGACGTAGGAACAGGAGCCCTCTCTGGGTTGGACTTGGAAACAGGAGCCCTCTCTGGGCTGGATTTGGGAACAGAGTCTCTTTCTGGGCTGGACGTGGGAACAGGAGCCCTCTCTGGGCTGGACTGGGGGACAGGAGCCCTCTCTGGGCTTAACTTGGGAACAGGAGCACTCTCTGGGCTGGACGTGTGAACAGGAGCGGACTCAGGGGCTGGAGTGACACTGGAACGGACTCAGGGGCTGGAGCCGACACTTGAGCGGACTCAGGGGCTGGAGCCGACACTGGAGCGGACTCAGGGGCTGGAGACAACACTGGAGCGGACTCAGGGGCTGGAGCCGACACTGGAGTGGACTCAGGGGCTGGAGCAACAGTATTTTCCTCCTCAGATTCCTCCTTTGGTTTGAGGTGAGGGAGACAGCTGCTGTAAGCTGAGGGCTTGGGAGTGAATTGGCCGGCGGGCTTGACAGTGGAGCGGCCAACGGACTTGACAATGGAAGGGCTGGCGAGCTTGACAATGGAGCGGCCGGCTGACTTAACAATGGAGCGGCCGGCGGACTTGACTGCAGAGCGGGTCTGGATCGGGGCCGGACGCTCTCCAGATCCCTACCCTCCAGCTCAGTCCAGCAGTGTCTGGGAGGTCCACGGGGAGATGGTAATTGGCCCTGATCCAGAACAAAGAATTTAGTGTGGCGTCATCTAATGCCGTCAAGACGGCGAGCCCACAGAATTCCCTGGCATACTCCACAAAAGGAAGGTCCTTACGGGCTAGGGCAGCGAATCTCACAGCGGTTTCCATAACCGCAGGGAACGGAAAACAAAAACGGGGAGAAGGGGTGCCGCTTACTGTTTGCAGGTTGGAGCGAGGAGACGCGGGAGAATTTACGAAGGAGTCTTTAATAAACCAAAACAGGATAACACACACGTAGGACCAGTGTTGGGGAAAGTTACTTTTAAAAGTAATGCATTACAATATTGCGTTACTCCATAAAAAAGTAACTAAATTACGTTACTTAGTTACTTTTTAGCTTATTAGTATGGTTGAACTGGATCATTGAAGACATTGGTTAATAGAATGGTATTAAATACAAAAAGGATATTTGTGTTGTTTAACATTTAACTATTGCAGGTTTGCGTCATATTCTGAGTTGCATTATTTTTTATTCATTTTGAGAAATACTGAATCTGTGTTTTTTTTTGTGAGTGAGATGAATGAATGCATATTCATATTTATTTTAGAACTACAGTAACATCTTCTGATTTCTCTCAACATGGGGACAGGAGAGCTGTCAATCAATAAATTGGAAAAAAAAGTAACTTGCGTTACTTATTTGAAAAATTAACTCAGATATTATCTTGTAAATTAAAAAGTAATGCGTTACTTTACTAGTTACTTGAAAAAAAGTAATCTGATTACGTAACTCGCGTTACTTGTAATGCGTTACCCCCAACACTGCGTAGGACATAGAGTTGACGTATAACACCGAACACTGGACACAGGAAAACACTGGGCTTAAATAACTGGAACCAAACAAGGAAATTAACAAGAAACACCTGAAATCAATGAACAAAATCAAACACGGGAGAAACTGGGTCATGGGGAGCACATGGGGAGCAAAACACAAGACAGGAACACAGGGGCAGTCCAAGGGCATGACACTGTTATTTATTCTATTATTTATTTGTTTGTTTGTTTATAAAGTATCACATTATGAAGTATTTATTTATAAAATATCATTTATAAAGACAAATATATACTGGTAAAAATACAATTATTATAAATATGTGTAAAATATTATGTGTAAAATATTTACTTTCTATTATTTATTCTATTATTTATCTGTTATTATTGATTTATTTTATTTATGAAGTATCATAAAATGGGTTATATGTCTGTTCATCACTGATTGTACAGTCATTACTGTCATTACAGTAAAACACATCATTCATGATTTCTCTCCCAAAGTGGTGTGCTCATATCCCTGTCTGTCACCACTATTATGCAACTTTTAGCTGGCACCTGAGTGAAGAGTCAGCAGGGGATGGTCCAATCACAGCCTGCCTGCATCCTGCAGTGGTGCTCCATACAGACCACAGGAAAAGCCCTCTGCATCTGTGCTGAGAGAAGGGTTCTCTGTCATGCCACTAGAACAGCAGCCCTGACCACAGTGAGCAATCAGCCGCAGCCCTCCTGACACAATTCAGCACGGTGGATGCCAGCAGAGGAATAGGGGTTATCCTTTATAGGGCCCGTTTTAGCTGGTAGCATCCTGGTTCCGTTTCGCTGGAGTGTGGGCATCTGTAAGCGGGAATGGACTGGATGGACGTCACAAGTGTAACCTTTTACATTGAGCGGGTCAGGTTAAAGCTAATTTAAGAGGTTTGTGGGGGAAGATATCATTCAGCATTTGAGGAAAGATTGATTATGGCATGGGTTTGTCTATCCCAGGCTTTCATGATTATCACGTTATCGCTGTACATGTGTTTTCTGTCATCTGCATTGTCTGTTTACTCTTGGCACAGGTGGTGTTTTCACTCACATGTACATGCTCAGAAAAAAGGTACAAAAGCTGTCGCTGGGACATTATCCTTTCAAAATCTCAATCTTTAAGGTACATATCAGTAATAAAATACTATTATGTAAATGTTATATATAAGTACCTTTTGAAATTTACAGCTTTTGTACTTTTTTGAGTCTGTTTAATATTCTATACCTTATGTTATTCCAGTTGGATTGTGTATTATATGAATTCATAACTCATTTTGATGGCATATAATTCATTTGGCTGTAACAGAATGTAAAAAACGTTTTTAAAACAAAAACAGACAGAATATTCACTGGAACTAATTACCCAAACTGCCTCTCATGGTCTGTTCTGTTGAAAAAAATATATATAAATGTGCAAATTATGATATCAAAATAAATATCTTATCAGCTACAAAAAGAGAGGAGAAAATGTTTGTTTTGTTGTTGGTGTCAAAGGTTATATACATCTAGCGGTTCTCAACCTTTTTGACTCCAAGGCCACCCTTTTTCCAAGACACTATTGTAAAGCCTTCCTAAGCTGATATGTACTTCTGACACTTCTGTTGTAATAAAAAAAAAAGTATTATATATAATTAAACACACACACACACA